CTATGTGCTCCATAAGGCTGAGAGCTAAGGATGGGCACCATGAGGGAGAAGCATTTGCACACAGAGCCTGGACTGGGATGACAGTGCCTCCGGGAGCTGTGGGCCAGGCAAGAGCCTGTGGGTGGGTGGGGGAGGGGGTCAGCCATCCGTGGAACTAGCTTCTCCTTTCCTGGAGCTCCAGCCCCTCCCAGGGAGGCCCAGAGGGCTCCAGTGAGCAGAAGCTGCCTTTGCTAATCTCTCACAAGTGTTTCGTCCTGGGAAGATGAAAGGGACAGTGCCTGGAGGCATTTTTGCTCTCTCTTGGCTAAACTGAGAGAAACAGCCAGTCACTGTGATGCTGAAGGTCCAGGAAAACCGCTGCCTGTCTCAAAAGGCAGCCTGAGAGATCATCCCATGTGAGAGAGGAGTGTCCTCCTGTGCAGGCCCACCTGAGCCTGCAGGGACTGGCCTCCCTTTCCCTCCTTTAAACATCCTCTTCCTCATATCCCCTTCTCAAGAGTCTTATGTCCGTCAGAATTTTCTGGTTCCTCAGAAATTGTCTTCTCTGGCCCGTGTCCCTCATTCTAGGTCCTCCCTGATTTTCTCCCCATCAGCTCCAGTCTCCCTGTGTTCTTCTCTTTCTTCTTCCTGCCCTCCCCCACCGTCTTTCCAGCCACCCTGAAAAATCAAACCAGGCTAGTGTTAGGGGCTTCTCCTTTGTTCATGGCCTCAGCCTTTTCTTCCAGTCACTATCCACAGACCCCAGGCAAGTTGCTCTGTGCACTTGGGTCATGCTGAACTAGTGGGGTGCACTGTTGTCTCTAGGGTTGTTGTTTACAGTTCTAGTAAAGAGGAATCCTGAGCGTTCTGAGGCCAGGCAAAGCCCCTCCTCTGATACCTTGTGACAGCTTTCTATTCTGCTCTGGGGAAGCAATGTGAATTGAGAAGGTGAGTGGTCCTGGGATCTCCAGGAGAGAGGGGTCTCAGGAAAGAGCTGGGAATGGGAGGTAAAGAGAGAGAGAGAGAGAGAGAGTGTGTGTGTGTGGGTGTGTGGGTGTGCGTGTGTGGGTGTGCGCACGCATGTGTCTGTGTGTATACGTGTGTATTGGGGATGTGGCTGAGGAAACAGTGAGAACAGACCTGATGGGAAATATCTGCTTAAAGACTCTTAGAGCATGGCCCAGCAGTAGATGGGCTGAAGAAGGAGAGCCAGTGGAGGAAGAAGGGAGATCACCCTCGGGGAAGAGCTCCTCTCCCAGCCCTCTGGCTGACCTGCAAGGGCCCTACCTCCCAAGAAGGGCAATAGTCCTCAGGAAAGCCTGAGAGTCAGCACCAAGGCAAGACTCAGGGAGTTCTTGAAGATGTGGAGAATCCTCTTGTGGAAGGCTCCATCAGTCAGCCCGAGCAGCTCTTTCTCGAGATCCACCTGACACCTGTGGATGACTTTACATATTCCTCTATCACCACTCACGGCAATAATTAACTACCCAAACAAAAATTAAGCCACTACTCTCTACTTATGAGACATTGGAATAAGACATAGGGATAGAGAGGAAGACGGAATAGTCCTTGCCCTCTTTTAGCTACTTCTCTAGGTGGGACTGAAGGGGCACAAGGAAAAAGTCTAACAAATAATCACACATTATGACAAGTGCCACAAAATGAACAGACTGGCTGCCATTATGGAGCAGGTGGTGGGGGAAAAGGATATATGATTTAGGTAAGGAGGCGGGGTTGGGTCTCTTTGTGGAGGTGATACTTACACTGAGATGTGACTGTGTATTTTTATTGTGAGTTCCTTGAGGGCAAGGACTATGTCTTTTTTGCTTATATAGCTCCAGAGCTTAGAACAATGCCTGGCACTTATTCAAAATGTGTATTATTTTTATGAAATTCAATGAATGTTTGATGAATAAATAAATGATCTCATTCCAGCAGTTCCCATTTAAAGCACCATGTACTTAATCATATTAAGACAATTATCTCAAACAAATCTGATATTTTCTGCCTACTCTGTCTTTATTCCCTCCTTTCTTGCCTTCCCTTCGTTGATTTTTGCTTATATCTCCATTTGATTCCTCAGATGTGTGGAGTCCAAACAGGAAAGAACACACACACACACACACACACACACACACACACACACACACACACACACGCATACACACACGCATACACACACACTCCACGTATTACCAACCACCTCAATTCCTGCAAATCCTGCAGATTCTATCCGAGAAGCTATTAAGCACTCCCAAATAGAGCAAACCTCTCATTGACTATCACATGCCTCCTTAAACGATCTTTGAATAGCGTTTTTTTTTATTGCTTTGTGTAGTTTAACGGCACCAATTGCTATTACTCTAACTTATGATAAACCCTAGATCTATAAAGCTCCTGTTCATTCATTATTTTCCTCTTGCTTCTTCTCGAGCTGTTATTTTTTGGAATGTGGTGAGGAGGAGGGAGTGGAGGGAGAAGAAAATAAAAGAACACAAAATTAACAGAGAAACAAATGAAATAGGGAAACACTTCTCCCTGGGTGATGGGCACCCTATTAGACACTGTTAAACAGAACAAATATGCTTTAATACAGCACAAGTAGGCCTTTTTTATTTATTCTAAATTAGAAATATAATGATTACCACCTTATCTTTAATGGGAGAAGCAGCTAATTGTTCTAATATCTCACTAATTCTAGGAACTGGAATAAAATAATTATTTTTTCCTATTTTACCAATTGTTCAATTTATACCAAGGTGTGTTGCATGGCATGGACAGAATTTCTGTCTCTTGATCTATGTCATGGCTGCTATTCCAGCTCAATTATTAATATGTGGGAGTTATAATTATTTTGAGTACTGGTACAAGATAATTATAAACCATAAAACAGCTCCCCACACTTGCTGATGCCTTTTCTTTTCTTTTTTTTTCTTTTGAGTTGGAGTCTCACTCTGTTGCCTAGAGTGGAGTGCAGTGGCCGCTCCCGGCCACTGCAGCCTCGACCTGCTGGGGTCCGGTGATTCTTCCACCTCAGCCTTCCAAGTAGCTGGAACTTCAGGTGCGCGCTGCCATGCCCGGCTAATTTTTTTGATTTTTATTGTAGAGATGAGGTCTCGCCAAGTTGCCCAGGTGGGTCTCGAACCCGCGGGCTCAGGCAATCCACTCACCTCGGCCTCCCAAAGCGCTGGGATTATAGGCTGAGCCACCGAGCCCGGCCCTGATGCCTTTTCCTATCTGTAGACATGTTGGAATCTGGGTGTATAAGCTTTAGAGAGAGAAAAATGTATAACTTGGGGGTAGTAAGCCTGTTCCTCCTCCAGAGCCTTCCTTCTCCTTCATTTCTACCTCCCGTCCCTCTGGAGCCAAAGCTGACCGCCTGTGCATCTCTTCCCTGCCCCACTGTCTTGCCCTCCTCCTATCCTGTTTCTGCTTTGTTAGTTGAGATTTCTAACTCATCATACGGGTTGGCTCAGGTTAGCAACCCCCAGCCCCCATTTCCTCAATCACTTAGAAACTGGGGTCAGATACCTGGAGCTTGGGGTTTCGAATGCAGCCCAAGTCCTGACTTTTTGGCTCCCCCAGTCCCCGTGAACCTTGTTTCAGCTTCTCTAATGAGCAGCGCCAGCGAGAGAACATGTCTATTCAGCACCACGGACAGAGGCACACTGTCAGTTCCCACAAATTAGAAGTTACTGCCTAGCAGTCTTGTCAAGGCCGCGCAGTATTGGAGAGGGAGGGACACTGACTAGCAGGACACAGAAAATGCAGCCCCCAACCCTGGTTGTAATCAGCCATCAGGATCCTACAAACGGAAAGAGGCTTCTTGATGCTGCTGTCTTCTTACGCTGACAGGTGGTGAATGGGGGGGGGGTGATCACTTCCTGTACCTTATTATGCTGGCCTAACTCTTGTCAGGTTGTCACCATGATGGACGCTGGTGACAGACCCATAGCTGGCAAGGTCTCAGGTCTGGGGAGCACATAGGGGTGTGGGTGCTGTGCACCAGGTTGGCAGGAGAGCCAGCTGAGGAGCATGGGAAAAGGACACTGAGACTATGCTATGGTTTAGCTCTGGGGAAGGAGATGGTGGAGGGAAGCCACCTCCTTCTTTCTGGAATGGGAATGAGGCCTCAGGGGTCCTGGGTTTAGGAGGGAACAGGCCCAGCTCATGGCAAGCTTGGCTGGTGGAAAGCCAAGGCTTCATTTGTCTAACTTTAATGAATAAATGGCATCCCCAGCCATTGTTTATCTACTTTTGAATCCTGACAAACAGTCTGTGGCATCTGATGGAGAGGGTTATTAGCTGCACAGAGACAGATGGCTAGGGATGGAGAGGATTGGTTCTTTATTACAGCAGACCCATAAGTGACAGAACTCCTCTCACATCCCAGCCTCCACGCCAATGTCAATACCTTCCCCAAGCCTTCAGTTACCCAACCAAGCCTCAGAGGGAAGACCCAGCACAAGAGGAAGGCAGAATGGCCCATGAGTAAGAGGGAAAAGTCGGGCCAGTGGAGTCAGAAAAGAGCAGATTTCCAAGTACAAGCTCTTTAAGAAGCTTTATTTAGTGTTCTGCTAAGTGTTCTGCTAAGTGTCCTGTAAAGTCCTGTTTATTCAATAGGCATTTAAGAAATGTGAATGATTGAGGTAAAGGTAAAGAGGTATGGATTAGAAAAGATAATAGGAGCATACTGAGTTGGGTTAGGTGGGTAGGTGGGGAGCACATGGTAGGCAAGACATGAAGAAGGTAGGTAGGGAGCACATGAGAGGAAGAGCAGTAGGGAACACAAAGGGAAGATAGCATAAGAAAATGCTCATGAATCAGCAGCTTGTGTTGAAGGCATTGGCTATTCTTTCCCACATTACTGTGTAAATGGCTTCATGGAAATAAAACGGATCTGCCCAGGGTCCTTTCGAGACATCCTAGGTTCTTTTTCCTGGCTCCTCTGTACACAGTTGTAAGGCATAGTTTTCTCCCTCCAAGACTACCACTGAGACCATGGGGAGGTTCTCACTGACCTTCATTCATTCTCCGAAACTTGTCCTTGGCCATGTAGCCCAGCACCAGACAGCATCCTCTCTTCTGGAGGCCCAGTTCTGGAAGAGAAGTGCAGGTGGGTGAGTTGGGAATGGGAACAGGTCAGGAGTTAGGGGAGGCCTCTCTGCGGGGGGCTGTGGGGGCTTGCTGCTCTTATAAGCAGGGCTGCTTCTTTGTTTAAACAACATTTCTATAAAACGTATTATGTTCCAGGCATACTTTTAAACCAGTAATTCCTCATTTGATTCTCAAAACAACACTATGAGGTATGTGACATTATTATCCCCGTTTTCTCTCATCCCCGTTTACAGCGGCACTAAACAAGCAATCTTACATGAAGGAGCTAGCAGGTAGTGGGGCCAGGATCGGCTCCAGAGTTCATGCTCATAACCATTATTCTGTGTTATCAAGGCTCTTTATATGCCAGGCCTGGGGACTGTGCTGACATCACCTAGGGATTGTGGCCAGACTTGCCAAAGAATATGCATCATCTAGTCAGTGGTATCCAGGATGAAGCAGTGCAGCCAAACACAGCAGGTGACTCGACTCTGGATGAAGGAGTGATTGAGCGAGTTTGGGAACAACATAGAGGTTGAGATATAGACAGAAGGACTCTCTCTACCTTTGTGTTTCTGGGGCTGGGGATTTCTGTGCATTCCTATACCGAGGCCCAATTCAGCACCATTATCAAGCACTTGTGAAGTGTAAACTCAGAGCACAGGGGGTTGGATAGCCAAGAGACACAAGGCTTCACAAGGCCTGGACCCAACTGGAAAAGCAAGGCAGAGTAACAATTCCAGGTAGCAAATGCAAGAGATCATTTTTTGTTTTTTACATAGTGTTTTGTAAATTGACAATCCCTGTGTGTGAGCATTGGATTGGAGTCCACCTGCTTCACAAGAAGGCAAGCTTTCCTCTCTGGCATTAAAAAAAAATCTTATTTGTCTTAAGCATTTTGTGGATTTTGAAGCAACTCCATACCAAGTTCCTTTTTTGATCCCATCCCTATGAATAACCCCCTGAGTTAGGCAGGTAGGCCACTGCAATTCACTTTACGCAGATGGGAAAACTGAGGCTCAATGATATTAAGTGACTTTCCATGATTATTTTAGACTCCCCACCCCCTCCACCTCGCTTAGAAGTCACATAAATGTGACAGCTGCCATAACTTGGGTAAATCAAAAAGGGTATGATTTCTATTAGAGAGGATGTGACTGTAGCTCCTCCCAGGCCTTGCCAGGATTTCTGGGCACCTGGCTGCTCCTTTCTCCTTTGGTTTCTCGGAGAAGGAACATCCCACTGAGTGGTGTGTCACAACAACTTCTCCCACAACACCGGGTGTATCTCCGAGCCCAGCCAGTCAGGGTACAGACTGTTAGAGGATAGACAGAGTGGGCCATTCCTCCTCCTACCTCTCCAACCACCTTCTGTGGCCCAGGTCCACATGTCAAGTGTAGCAGGATAAAAGGGAGCATAGGGCCCAAGGGAGACAGATAAGTCAAGTTTGGGGTCCCTTGCCCCAGAGAAAAACAAAGTGTGGTGGGTGGTGGCAGAGTGCCATGGCCTAGGGAGGCCGCCAGCTTTGATCTCCTGATTCTATAAAGGGGTTTATTGACTATCAGTAAAGGGCAGAGAAGCAGATCTGAGGGCACCTTTTCCAAAGGCACTCACTTCTCTTCCTTCCCCTCCACACTCGCATCTGCCAAACCGCCCTCACTTCAAACGGTCTTACATCTCAGGCGCCCAAATTGACGATGTTAAGTTCCCTCATCCAAGGCCTTGGCCCTTTCTTCAGGGGCTCCCGCTCTGCCGAGGGCCTCACGGATCAAAGCCCCTTTGATGTTTACTTACTATATTTGTGGATTCTTTCTAACAACCACCTTCAAGAGGCAGGAATGTAGCCTGCCAGGAGGGGCCAGTGGAAGTGCATGCTGCCAGGAGGTGATGAGCTCCCAGGAACAATAGCCTCTAGCTGGAGAATGGATTGAAATCCCAACATGCTGAGGACAGGCAGAGCTAAGCAGCCCATTATAATTTCACGTGTATTGTTTGTCATCAAAAGGATACAATTGCTAACAATTCCTATTGTACCTGCCGTTGACTTCTTAAGCTCATCTAAAGCACACCAGCAGTGGCTCCTTATGAGAAAGGGAGTTTGGGTTCTTGAATTGAGACCAGCAGGGAGTCCCAGAGAACACTGAGTAGGGAGAGAAAAGTTGCTGGGTGGATTCAGGCCAATGTTCTTTGGGTCAGTTGCTGGACTCTCAGACAAATGGATAGGAGAACGATTCTACAGATGTAGAAAGGGTGAGCAACCTGTTGAATCTGGATTCTCTAAGTTAGTTGTCTCTACTACCCCAACTCAACCTCTCTTACGTCATATACTATGATGCCTCCAGGGTAACTACCTGAGGGGAAGCTGTGCATACAAGCAATTTTTATAAGAAGGAATCTCACTGACCATGTTTGATTTTTGCAAATGAGCAGTCAAAGAAGTTTTTAAAAACCTGATTAGTAAAAGAAACTGAGGATGAGGCAATTTCTCAATGTATTTGGCTCATTTAATTTGACACGTGTGAGTTAGTCTTATTTAGGTGGCTACATCATGAGGCACTAATAAGTATGCTGCAGAAATGTATTAAGTGTGAGGGCTCTCTGACTGAGTGAGTCTTTGCTGAGAAGTGGGGAGAAGCCACTGGGATCTTTGCAAGAACGAGCAGCTTGGAGGATGGGCGATGTGAGAATTAGCTAGTTTTCCACATACGAAAGTTTGGGAAATTATTTGGAGAGATTTGCAGAGCTAAGTTACAGATCGTTGGGTCCACAAGAGAAAGCTTGCAGGGGGGACTGTTGTGGAGGAGGGGAGGAGAATTTGGAAACAGTTGGGAAGTGGGGAATTGGGAAGGTACTGAGCACAGACAGAATGAGAAGGAAGCAGGAAGTAATTGCTTTAACTTGGGGAAACTTCAACAAGCCAAACTAGCTAGGCTATTAGGGTAGAGGAATCTCTCTCTTTGTGAAGTAGACCAGCTACCAGACTGTCACCTGCCTTGTCATATGGCACTGAGATGGATAATGGAGTCAGATCACAGATGCCCTTTTTAAGCAATATGACAGTCTTCTCCAAGTAGGTTTGGGGGCTGCCATCATTGACTTTATCAGTAGTAGAACCACCCAGATGCCCTAAAGTATCCATGGAAAATAACTGACGTGAAAAAAATTCTGCCCTGAAGGGCAAGTTTATAGCAAGGAAGTCCAGGGTCACCTGCAGATGGGGTGATGAAGGGCACTTTCTGAGGAAAATGAAGGTTAGGAATACTTTCCATGCAAGGAAATATCTATTAGAACAGGGTATGTTTCTTAGGGAGAAGGGAAGCTTGCACCCATGGGAATTCCTGGCCTCTGGACTGTAAGCAACAGAAAGGTCAGGATTGTGCCTTTTCCAGTTCCGAGACCCTAGTACCAAGCTCAGTGCCGGACACATGGTAAGTGCTAAGGAAAAGTTTACTGACTTAACAAAAGGGCCAACTAAACAATATTGGGCAGTGATCAGTTCTCCCTGACCCAGTCAGAATGAAAACAGGTGGGCTTAAAGGTAGCACAATGGATTTAGCACAATGGAAGATGGTTGTAGATATAGTACATGAAACTTGCAATTCATTGAAATAGAAGACTAGAGAATCCTGTGGATTTCCTCTTGGGAGAAAAAAAGAGGGGTGGCTTTATAAATGGAATGGGTTTCCTTCAGTTTCGGGGGTGCAAATGGGACTTTTGCTAGCCTTAGGAGTACTTTGTTCTTACTAGTAATAATAATGAGACAGTGATATTATTTCACATTTGTGGGATACTTATTTTTTCACGATCCTGTCATATTCTCTATCTCATTAGATGCTCTGTGAAGTAGGCACGGCAGAAATTATTTCCTCCATTTTGGTTTCAGAAACTGAGTCTCAGAGAAGTAAAATGAAAATTTAAGGCCAGAGCATTAGCTGGTGATAGTGCTCAGGCTAGAATTCAGGCCTGATTTCTGGCTTAGATTTTAGGGTTGCAAATGCTACAAATCAAGACAGATCAGAGAACAAAGAACAGAGATTAGTGGTTTGGGCTAGGATGTTGCTATGGGCTGAATTGTGTCCCCCTCCCCGCCCCCAATTTCATATGTTGAAGTCCAAATCTCACTACCCCAGAATGTGACCTTATTTGGAGATAAGAACTTTGCACAGGTGATCACCCTAAAATGAGGTCATTAGGTTGGGTCCTAATCCACTGACTGGTACCCTTATAAAAAGGGGAAACTTAGAGACAGACACATGTACAAGAAGGATACCGTATGAACATGAAGATAGCCATCTAAAAGCTAGGGAGAGACCTGGAACAGATCCTTCTCTCACAGCCCTCAGAAAGAACCATATCTGCTGTCGTCTTGCTTTTGGACTTCTGGCTTTCAGAGCTGTGAGATGATACATTTCTGTTGTTTAAGCCCCCAGATGGTGGTACTCTGCTACCGCAGCCCTAATATAGAGAGGACAGGGATGAACTGGTCTCCTTTGTGGGGTCGGGCTATCTCTATTAGCCATAGTTCTCTATAACCCAACCCCAGGTCACAGAGCTGCCGGTGGGGGACAGCATCATTCCCTGGTCAGAGGCCCCAACGAACTAGAGAGCAGCCACCGGGCTGCTAAGATAAGGCAGTGGGGGTGGTGGGCCCATGAGGTGACAGGAGAGAGGGAAGGTAGGAAGGGAGGGTTGGTCATGTGTCTGCATGCCCAAGAGCACTCAGCGGCAAACTAGGATGCCTTTGACATTCCTGCTTCCGTGGTGAGGACCACAGTGGCCTGGATTGCACTTGCTTATTCTCCAGTTCAGGGGCTAATGAGCTCTTAAGTAACTGTGGACAGAGATGGGTGACAACAGACAGGTACCAGTCCCTATCTCACCATTTCTGAGACTGTCCAGTGCATTTGACTGGCTACTTGTAAGAGGTCTTCCTGTCCTGTCCCCAACTTGCCCAGTCACACTAGTTCAAGGGCACTTGTAGAAGACTGACCCAGCAACCTATCAAACAAGAAATAAGAGTATTTTTTGGCAGGCAGTTTGGTATGGCTGTAGCAAAGATTTTAGGAGCAGCAGAAGAGAGATAAGTCAGGAGATGTAGCCAGGGACCAGATCCTGGAGCAGCCAGTGAGTGAGCCTTGCACAGGAGGCTGGGTATTCTCCCACAGGAGGCGGGGAGCCATGAAGAGTATGAGATAGGGGAAAGACAGACCACATTTGCATTAAATAATGATCACTTTAGCACCGGTGTTGATGACGGATGGGAGGAGATGAGTCTGGAGAAGGGAGGCCAACTGGGAAACTGTTGCCACACTCCAGGCGAGAGATGATAGGTCTGCCTTTGCCTCCTCTTCTGCTTGCTGAAGATGTCCAGAGGTCAGAAAGCAAGGGAAGGACCCTGAACTTTATCATGAGGACATCTAGAGCCTCCAGATCTCTGGCACCTCAACATAGAGAGCAGTGGAGGGGCCAGAAATAGCTCAAATTCTCCAGATGGTGACTGAGACCATATGGAGAACATGCCAGCAGGACCTGGTTGGAGTCACAGGGAAACCATGTGGGTCAGGGGAGGCCACAGATGCTTCAGAACTAACAGAGCTGGCTGAAACCACACTCCAGCACTTACCAGTGAGGCTCCTCTGAACTTTAGTTTTCTCATCTCTAAAATGTCAATACTAATAGTAAGGTCCTCCTCACACAATTAATATGAAAATCAAATCAGCCACCCTGTGGTGAAAAGTGCCTAGAATTAAGTATCTGATAAAGGTGAGTTCAAAATTAGAAACAAAAGACCAAAATCAAGTTTTTTCTTTACAGACGAGAAAGTAGAGATACAGAGAAGTAGAATGACTTCTCCATGGTGATGTGATGAACTGTTAGGTGATATACTCTGAAGGTTTGTGCGGTGGCCATGAGTCAGATGGTCTGGGAAAGCAAAGTGAGTCAAGAACACCAGTAAGGTGGCTGTAGCAGGAGAGGCTAAGGGACCAGCAGGACTGGGAACAGAGAGAAAATGGGGAATCGGAGATATTCTGATGCTAAGTGACCCAGTGGGGCAAGCAGAGGAAGGGGGCAAAGGTGACCCCACTGTCTTTCATTGGACAGAGCAGGGTCAGGACAAAGAAAGTTGATTAAGTCACAGAGTGATAATTGTACATTTTTGGACTCCTGTATTTGAGGTGATGAGGTTCTCAAGTCAAGAGGACCCGGATGATAATGTAAGCCAGAGTTCTGATCTGAAACACAAATATTTTTAACCAACTGCACTGACCTCAGAGGGTGAATGTTTCATTCTGGAGAAACAGCAGGGGGATACTATGGGTAGATTCTGCTACAGGCGTTGATACCATCCCTCCATAATTAGCACATATTAATAAATGTCACTGGTATAAAGTCCAATCCATGAATACTCATTGCTAGGCACTATGTGCAAAACAAAAATAAACAAGACGAGCTTCCTAGCCCAAGGAGATTAGAATCCAGTTGGTTATATAAGGCATCTACTTTTGAAGAGGTAAATAAAAGTCAAAGCCAAGGAGCAGTTTGGTAGAGAAAGAGTCATGAGGCAACATACAAGCTATTTCCGCACAAATGACAATCTTTGCTGCAGGAGTCCAGAGGAGGAGAAGAGAGCTGGAGCACTGGGTTGTGAGGGATGCCCTTGCAAAGGGCCTTGAAGCCTAGAGATTGTCCCAGATCTTGTCTTTGTTGTGTGTTTGTACTGGTGATCTCTCTTACTGCCCATCACTCACCAGTAGCCATCAACAGCCACTCTGCCCAGCCATTGCAGAATGCTGGAGTCTAGTGTTTGGAATGTCCTCACCTTGGTTCTGCTGCACAACTGCTGTCTGCATCGGTTCTACCTAGTTCTGTTTTTAGCATAATTACTTGCAGGCAGTAATGATGCCCATAAATCATGCAAAGATCACAGTTTCCTGATCAGCTTCTGTAGTAAAGGGGCCTGATGAGGGGAGTAGCAAAGGTAAATTAATCCTGACTAGTGCCTGGCTCTGGCCCTCGAGGACAAGTGATAAATGTTTAATAGTCCAATAATACCTGTTTTATAATTTTTGGATCCCATTGCTTGCTAATTCTAAGTTTATTAAAGAACTATAAATTTTACATTGTTGTAAAGATATAATTGCTATTTCATTGCTTATTTAATATGAGTTAATTATATTAGAACTAAGTTTTTCCCCATTCATATTAAGTATCAATTAGTTGTTTTAAACTATTGATTTGTATTTAATTAACTATGCTATTACATACCAATTAAATTCTTATAAGAGAAATCTGAAACAGCTGTGTCTTAAATTAATTTTTTTAAAAACAATTGATTCCATAAAAAGCTCATGTCGAGTTATCATTTTTTAGGAAGAGTTGACAATCATTTGTGATAATTCCAAAAAGTTTTTGTGAACCCCCCCTCACTCTATCCTCACTAGCTCCTGCAGGGTGCATGGCTCCCTCAAACACCTGCTGATAAGCACCTTGCGGCTTCATCCAGCAGTAGTAATGACTATGGGGTAGCCCTTTGCCAGCCCCTACCCTCCTCAGCCTGCCTCAGTTGTGCCATTTGCCAGTTGGCATAGCCCCATCCACTGCATGGCCAAGGCAAGTGGCATTATTAGCAAGTCCTCGCCACCAGCTGGAAGGGCTAGAACTGTCTGTGTTGCTATGCCCCAGATCCCATGAGCCTGCATGCTCATGTGGTCATAAATCTTTTGGCTTCTTCAAATCTCTGCTCCACTGGCCTGTACATTTAGGGTGGGAAAAAGATAACAGACATTTGCTAAGCAGCAAAGGGGGCATTTAACTTTCCTCATTTTGTTTCACCCTTACAACAACCTTATGAACCCAGGTGTTATTATCCCGATGTTATTTATAAAGAAACTGACATTTTAGAGGGGTAAGGAGTTTGCTCAGAGTCCCGCGACTGGTGAGTGGGGAAGTTTGGAATACCCTTGTCTGTCTGACTCCATGTTGGTGCATCCTGCCATGCTCTGTCTCCATTTTCTGAGAAATTCAACTCCTCACCAATTCTGAGTCTCAGCCCATTGGGCTAGCTCTCAGACACCTTGTCTGACTCCTGTCATCTTTCTCTCCTTGGATGGATAGGCTCCTCCCATACCCTTAGTCACTGCCTGGGGTCTTTCTCCCAATGGATGAACTACCTGGAATTCCAACACAGCCACCAGCTTCTTCTGGGGCCCTTGGCTGTCAATATGGGCCCCAAAGTTGGCAGAGTTCACTCCACCCCTCTGCACACTGAAATTGGGATGCTGACTACTCCCTTTGGGGCTGGGTGCAGTCATCTTGCACTTCTCTACTGGCGAGCATCACAAAAGACTCACCCACCTGGTGCCAAGTTCACGTAATTCACTGTCACAAAGCTGCCAAGTACTGATTGCTTCTGATTTATTAGTCTCTTAGCTAAGCATTCCACATGCATTGTTTTCTTTAATTTTCATCAAAACTATAAGGTAATACTGTTGTTATTCCTATTTGACAGAAGAGGAAACTGAGAATCCAAAAGGTTACATAACTTCCTCAGGGTCATTGTCGAGGTCAGCAAAGTCAATTACAAACTAGATTCTTTGGGCTACCAGTATCATCTCTTTGTGAGGGGAGTGCTGGCGCAAGGGGGAACGTTTAATAATGCTGGTTGAATAGTTGTATGAGGAACAGTTTTATCACATGTACAAGAATGGCTTAGCCCATCTGATTTAAGATGTCTAATCCCAGTGGGTTGCTTGTTTGGTAGGGGAACATATAAAGAAACACAATCATGAAGGTCATTCCTGTTCCCCTGGCTTGTCATTAGTCTACTCGCCCTGGAGGAACAGGGGCTGCTACAGGCCATATGCCTGCGAAGCTTTTAGACTTTCCTTAAGAGGAACTTGGAAGTCAGTGACTAGTGTTTGAATGGGGCCAGATGCTCCACAGCTGTGTGTCCTGTTCCTGGGGAGGCTCAGCCTGGTGCAGCCAGTCAATCACAGCTGGGAGGCCAGGCAGGAAGAGGGAATCTCTTTTTTTCTTGTTTCTTGTAGGACCAAGAGTCCCCAAAAGATGAAGACTGAAGGCAATAACGTGGCAGGCAAAGTCGCACTCCACCCCATCCCCTGAAGTCCTCTTGAGGCCCAGATCTTTGAGAAGGCAGAGGCCCAATAAGACATTATGCCAAAGAGATTGATTTGTTAAATTAATCTTTGCACAGATTAGTGAACTTACAGATTATTAGCTCCGCTGTCCAGGCAAGGCTCAGGGAAGTTGAGCAATTTTCCTGAAATCATACAACTAAGAAGTGGTAGACGCAGGATTAAAACTCAGGCCCATTTGATGCCAGAGCCCAGGTCCGCCGCACCCTTCTCTGACGATGCAGCCCTAATGCACAGCTCAGGGGACCAGCAGAGACCTTGGTGGGAAGAGGGGAGCTGCCCAGAGGGTGCTGACTGATGGAACTGTGGGCATTGTTGCTGGGTGGCTGGAAGCACTGTGAAGCCCTCCTGGGAGCAAGGATCCTGAGGAGTCCATTTCCTTGGGTATGGAGAAGGAGGAATTGCCTCCTGGGGGAGGCACGGAGGTGGGGGTAAGGTAGGGAAGGGTGGAGGACAGCCACCTGCTCAGGGTGTGTGGACAGCAGGGGCATGACTGCTGAGGTTAGTGATGTGCTTACAAACAACTTGTTACCCATTGATGGCCCAAATAAAACCACAAATGCTGAGGATTAATTGGGAGGGTCCCATAAGTGTCATAGACTGACTTTAAATAATTTATCCCTAGGGTCAGGCAGAAATGCTCAACCTTTGCCCTTGAGTCCCCTGAGTCCCACTGAATGAGGTTGGGGTGGAGGGAGACATCTGCTCTTATTTGGCACAAGAAAAAAGGACAGAGAGGAGGAAAAATGTCCTGGGAGTAGGGGGAGAGTAAGGTTTTTAGGGATCTTGGAGTGAAGGGGGTGCTGAGGGTCTAGTGGGCTTGGGGGGTGCCCCCTCCACTTTCTGGGTGGAAAAACAGTGCAGGAAGGAGGCCAGGTGATGGCATGTCCTTGCCCCTGGCCAAGACACAGTCACAGCTGCCTGATTCACAGTCCAGTGCTCATGCCTTGCCTTGCAGGGTGGGCCTTGTCCATACAGGAATGCTGCACACCTTCACTGGGGTGGAAGAAGGGAGGGATGTGAGCCGAGCTCTCCCGCTCTGCCTGCTCTGCCTCTAGGGCATTCTAACTTGGGCCACCTTGGGAGCTGGCAAGGAGCAGAGGACCAGGGGTTGGCAAGACCTCTCCTCCAGGGCAGAGCAAAGCCCAGGCAGCTGCCTGTCTCCCCTACCCACCCTAGCCCACACAGCAAGGGAGGAAAGGAGGTGGCGGGGTTAGGAGAGGACCCAGAGGAAAAGACAGGGAACCCTGCTGTCCTCCCATTACTGAAATCCTCCTTGAGCCTCACACACCCCATTACAACTCTGTATCTTATAATTAAATTGAATCTGCCAGTTACCTCTCAGCAAGGCAGCAATTCAAGTTCATTGGAGGCTTTCTTTGCTTATTTTCACTTATTTATTTATTTAGTAATTATTTATCTAGCTATCCATACAGCTAGATGGAGGCCCTAGCCCAATGTTTCTTTTGCCTTCAAAAACAAAAAAGCTTAAATGCCATCTCTCCCACTTTGGGATGGGGAGAGGAGGGGAGGAGGCGAGAATGGCAGAGCTGGTTCCCAGGGTGAGCTCCTGCTGGGGGGATAACTCTTCAGGGTAAGGTCAAGGCCACAGGGGTAGATTCATCTGCCTGCTAGGCATGGCTTGGATCCTGTCCTGGATTCTACCTACCCTTTTTTTTTTTTTGTCAAAGATAATTTATAGCTGGCCCATGAATTCCAGAAATCTCCAAGGAAGCCCCTTGGAGGCCCCAGACAAGGAGCTTCATCCTGAGGGACCAGAACAGGGATCGGAGAATGAGGAAACCAGGTTGTGACTGGGTATTGTTAGCAACTAACACACCCACAGGGCTTTGCAGTTGAAGAAGCAAGAGGATGTTCTTCATTAACCCTCCATATTCATGGAGGAGGACGGGAGATCAGAGAGGTTTCACTCTCTCCTGCCCAAAGTCACCCAGTTGCTGATGGCAGAACTGGGATTTGAACACAATGCTTAGGGTAAAACCCAGTTCCTCTACTTCCCTCAGAGGCCTAGATCTAAGCTGGCAGCCCAGCACAAAAATCAAAGCTCCTTTCTTCTCTCCAAAGATAACCTTTCAGCAGTGAGGGGGCAAAAGAGAGTGTGAGAGCTTTGAGTCAGGAATCAGCCTCAAACAGATCCAGGGGAGTGATGCTGAACCACCAGCCATCACTTAATAAGAACATGAAAGTTTACTTACCAGAGGCCAGCCCAGCGGGAGGTTGATTGCTAATAGGTATGCCAGGGCCTGTGCAAGCCCTGTACATCAATAGCTGAGCCCTAGAGAGGTGACCCCATTTGGGGCCATACAACCTAGCAGCCCCACCAGATCAGAGGACGAGGGCCACTGGGACGGTGTGAGAGGGTGTGTGTTTATATGTGTGCATGCTCATGTGTTAAAGTATGAGAATGGGAAGGAATTCCAGACTCCCACTGACTTCTTAGACTGAAATTTCCTCCAAAGAGAAAAATGGTATTCATTCACCACCTCCTTCACCTCTGCCTACCTAGTTTCACCAGTACCCATTTACTGGGTCATTTGTGAGCTGTGTCATGCTTCTTGGAATAGGATCGAAAAGGCCTGGGTCCACATTGGCCCTTCCTGGGTCTCTTCAGGAATAATTGTGTTTCCAAGGTTTTCAGCACACATGGGAGGTGGGGATCAGTGTGCTTCTGTGGCCTGCTTTCTCATATGAGCCATCAGGGACCTTGACTCGGGTTCTGACCAGTCCACAGAGCATGGTCATGGCAATGTGAAGGAGGGCCTGAACTGCAGGAGGATTTATGCTTCTTGCTCATCTGGAGAAAGTTCTCTGGCCAGGACCCAGCAAGGGAGGCTGGGCTAGGACAAAGAAGGTCTTTTAGCTGAGGGGCCTGGTGATCAGGAAATACTGGCTATCCGGTTTCCAAGCTTTGGATGGGAGGGCCAGGTTCTCTCCTGACTCTGAGGTCGAAAGAAGCCAGCCCAGGAAGCTTGGACCATTGGCCCCCGCAGCTCTTGGGAGTTCTCATACAGGATGGTGGGCTCTCCAACTGCCTCTTGGCTCTTGGTTGGAGATGCCCACCTTCAGTTTCCAGGAGAAGTCCCGGGTCATGATGCGGATTAGAGACGATGTATGCAAAATACTAGGAAGTGAAGTTTAGATGTGTGGGACCAAGGCTGGGTGCGTTGTAAGTGCCCCATCAATAGTAGTTAGTTATACAAATAACATAATAAAGTATAGGGTGTGTTACAGTGCTCTAAGATCAACTTGAGGACTCCAGTTTTGTGGTTTAACTGAGGCTTCTGTACTGTCAGAATTAAGATAACACCCACAGCTGCTCAGGGAGCAGTGTACTCAGCCTTTGGGGAAAAGGTTTGTCCAATGGCTGTCCTGCTAGCGCCTACCAGTCCTGGTTTGCACAGTAAACCAGGTTGATGTTTTGCAGAAACAGAGGAGCAGATGTTTTGCAGAAACAGAGGAGCAGATCTTGAAACCTGGTCATTGTTAGCCTGGCCAGCAGTCACTGAGCTGCAGAGTGAGTACAAGGTGCGTACTAGGCATTGGAGGTAGAAAGAAGGTTCAAGCCCAGTCTTGGGATCTTACAAAGAAGTCAAGAAGTTGGAACAAATACACAGAAAGATCTAAAGAGAGATCTATCATGACATGTCTAGTTCAAGCAGGTGAGAAAAGGTTCTATCTGGCACTGCACAGACCATATGGAGGGGAGTGCCCTGCACTTCAGTCATGCTTTCAGGAGCACACGGACAAAGCTGGGGGCACTCAGAGGAGGGGGCCGGGACAGCAAGGGTCTGGAAGTCTAGCCATAAGAGGCATGGGAGGGAGCCTGGTTGTGCAGTAGGAGAGAGAGAAGACCACCTGCAGGACTTTAGGGAAAGAATCAGGACCAGGTGGTAGGGATTCTAGGGAGGTAGGTTTCAACTCAGGAGCGGGAGGAAGCTGCCTTTAGTGCAAGCTGTCTAGGGCATAGGCTTTGCTCTTCCCAAGGACTCAGGTGGGACCAGTGCCCAGGGATGATAGTCTATCGGCCCATCCTGCTGGGCCTGGGATGTAGATATAGCCAGGAGGGTGGACATCTAGTACCAGATTAGAAGAGCCGACTGTGCGTATTTTTCCCCAATTTGGCATTCAGTGATGTCACACCCGTAGCTTCAATTTACACTAAGGGAGTTGGCACAACTGCAACAGGGTTCTTCTCTCTTCTCCCCTCTCCCCATCCCCTTCTTCACCCCTCCCAAAAACTGGTTTCCTAGCACACCACTGGCAGAGCTTTGACATCTGAGGAGAGGACCATTTACCCTGGTTCCGGCTTCTAGACCTTTCATAGATGTGACTAAGGCCCTCCACCTGTGGTTTCTGCTTCATTTAAGGTGAGTCACCATCCCTCCATGCCTCATCCTGTTTTTCTGACTGCTGAGCTGAGCTGCGGAAGTCCGGCCAGAGAAGCATGCAGGTATGGCCAGGAGAGCTCATGTGGTTCACTCCCCTTCTCCTGGCAGAACTGACATCCAGTCATTCCAGCAAAGTCGTGACCTGTCTTTAAAGTCTCCAGATGGGGCAAGCTCACAACCTCTCCATGGGCACAGCTCACAACCTGCTCCTCTAAGGGCAGCAAATTCTTCCCAGTGCTCCTCTGGAAGCTCTCACTGTACTCTTTTGCAAATACTTGGAAGGGCAGAAGATGGATTCCTTACCATCCATAGTCTAGGATAACAATAAGTAGCCCGATTTGAAGTCCTGAAGGCAAGGACTTACTACCCTGGGCACCTCCTGGGCAGTGTGATAAAACAGCTAAAATGTATCACCAGGCATGGTGTTAAGCACGTTACATAAATTATCTTATTTAACTCTGACACCAACCCTATGAAGAGGGACTATGATGGTCCTGATTGCACAGCTGAGGAAACTGATGTTTGCACAGGTTAAATACCTTTCCTAGTGTCAGCTCATCTATAAGAGGACTGAGACAAGACTTGAATCTGGGCCTCTGACTTCAGAGCCTGAGCTCAATTAAATCCTGCCACTCCCTTCAGGTGCAGTTTGCCACTCACAGATCTAAATCTGCTCAGGAGACACAGTTCCCCTAATTTTCCCTAAGAGGAGCATTGGGTGGAATAGAGCCTGCAGGCTGCTCAGAGGGTGCTGAGTCAGGGAGCCATCACCCAAATTCCTTCTGGCTGGGGCCTCAGGGAAGCCTGGCTGTCATGGAGAGAGAGGCAGCAGAGAGAAGCTCTGGGGATAGCCAGCTCTCAAGGTAGAGCACTTGGCAGCCTAGCCTGATTGCCCCCTCCTACTCCTGTGTTCCCTGTCTGAGACTGAGTTCTGGCTCAGACACCAGTGACCTGGTGTCTCCTGGGCGCCTCCCTGCTTGGGGCAGACGCTGGCCTGCTTTCCTGGAGATCTGGCTCTGTTCTAATTACCTGGGTGACCTTGGGTGAGTCATCTAATCTTTCTGGGCTTCAATTTCTTCATTTGAGAAATAGAGTTTGAAGTAGGGTAGGAGACTTAATTGGGTGTCTGAAGATCTCTAGGGGACCTCAGTTAAGAGGGCAAGTGAGTTTGCATACAAA